AGTAAACATTTTGTCAATTTCTAATCTCGTCTTGGTCACCCGAGATCTATGTGTTACTTTTAAATGGTTATTAGTGTGAGTGAAATTCAATGTTCGGGTACCTTTCTTGTAAACGCATGCACATTTCAATAACTCGATAATATTATATGTATTATTATTTATTACGACAACTTATATATTATCGTCTTGACAAAACTGAAGTTATATAGTAAACAACGTTGTTTGATTTTGTTTCTGAAGAGATAATCCCATTTTCCTAACCTTTGTAATAATAATGATTTGAAAAATTCATATTTTCAAGATTTTAATTATTACAGTTCACGGCGATATTAGATTTAATTTTAACCAAGTGTTCCGTACGATCTGTAAAAAATTTTCTATGGAGTTAAAATTTTTTTTCAGAATAAAAATCGGATGACGTAAACTTGCTTTAATTTCGTTAGAACTAAAATAATATTACGTCTTTGGAGCTAAAATTGACGGCAGTAGCGAGGGCTCTTGAAAACTATGGTGTGGTGTACAAGTCGCAGTGCAGCAAAATTCCAGGGAAACATGTACTGCAGTAAGTTGTTTTTGATGTATTTTTGCTGTGAGGATCGTCTTTTCCAGTCTGACGACGAAACGCGTTTCCCGAGAATTATTCACAGGTTCCAGGTAAGGAGAGTTTATTAATATAATTCTACAAAAGTTATTTATTTATAATTTGTCGATTATATAATCAGGTTTTATTGACTGTGGTTAGAAAATAGTAAATACCTACGCTCATAAGACTAGAGCAGCGGTCCCAAACTTTTTTCCGCAATGCCCTTTTTTGGACCAAATATAGCCACGGTAATGTCCTGCTGTGGTTACCATAAAAGACAGGATAAAAAATATTCATCAATAACGAAATTGTGAAAAAAAAATTCTATACATTTAAAAATTTTTATAATGAGCCGTAGACCGTGGTCCGTGATGCACAGTTTGGGAACCGCTGGGCTATAGAGAATAAGATAAAGGGAAGACACACTTTATGTAGGTAACCGTAAAATACAGCCGAACTCTCGATTTAGGTTAACCGCGGTKACATTGCCAAGACGTTAATGTAATATTTTAATGCCATCGCTGCAGTGTGTGTAGCCATTATCGTCCAGTATAATAAAATTATTAACGGTTAAATTATTATAATTAATAAATTTATTAGTAACATCTAATTATCAACGAAAAAAATTTTCATATCGAAAAGTGTCACCTGGGGCGATCGTATTCGTACCATTACGATATCCAAAAATACCCTACCTATGTGTATAGTAATAATAATAATAATAATATGAGCAAATAAATGACGAAACAACAAAACAACGTGTGTCATAATTTCAAGTCTCCAAAACGAGTTTGACATAATACAATATGTTTATTATTATTTATATTGGTATCAAAATGATTGTATTTATAGTCCGACATCGGATTCTGCTTATCGACCGTAATCATTATATTATGTGGATATATACTACAATAATACCCATCTACGTGCATTATAATAATAGTGTCGTTTCAGGATCGTATCGGAAACCCAACGCTTTTTACGGAGTTTTTCGAGTTTCAATATAATCATAGAATGATAATAATAAATATCATACGTTCATAATGGTAAAAATCTTACGAAAYGATACGAAGGCTGGACCACCGTCGCACGTGTTTATGGGGCAACGATTAATGTTTATAGCACCAGCGTATAAAAATGGAAGAAAGTGAAAATGTGTCATCTCGCGAACAAGGAGCGGATGCCACCGTCACTGGATCCATTGCTTTTGGAGGACAAGATTCGACGGCGACGACTTATCATTTATTAACCGTGCTCTGTATATTAACATTTTTACTGTTGTTAATTTCGGAAGTCGACCTAAATACGTAAAAGTGGACCTATAAAACGTACGTGGACAATATTTATTGCGTACGGCGAATACCAAAATGGCATCGAAGGACTATAGAATGGTAAGAGAGAAGTAGTCAGTCAAATCGATCGCAAAAATGTTTCAAATGTAATTATATAAAATTTTTGAAAATCTCATTGTTTTTGTTAGCACTCGATTTACACTCCGGAAGCTGTATCGGATACGTTTTAGATGGCTATAATTATTGTTATTCTTCATAAAAATTGTAATGCAATATTCTATGCAAAATCAACAGACCGATTAATAATTGTCAATTTATAATTGATAATTGAATTTAGAACGAGGACGTTGACGTTGTTAATGCAATTATTTTTTACTTAAAAACCAAACCAAATGCAACAACTGTTTTGCACTGGAAAGAACCGAGAAGGCTAGAGTCATAACTTAATAAGAAACGAAATTTCATCACAAAAAAAGGAGAACTTTGGCTGTGAAATATAGTTTTTAATATCGGAACTAAAAGTTGTTCAAATTTTTTCAACACAAAAATAATGGATTTTGAAACAGTTAAAACTTTTTTCATATAAATGATAACAACAAAATTAAAAACGGTATTTACAAAAAATGCTCTCAACTATATTGTATCTCAATTTGGAATCCCAATTATCACTACAGAGTACAGACTGAGTACTGAGTAGTTCTATCACACGCAATACAATTTTTGCCATGTTATAAGTTTGTAAGACACAAAGACAACACAATATGTGGTCTATAAAAGTATAAAATTATAGCACGCATGCAACTTACCAAGTTAGTGGTCGGAACAGTATTTATAGATACCTACCTTATTTTATCGCTGGTCAAAAATGAACAKATCGACTTTCAGGAAATAAATAAACAATATAATTGAAACAAAAAATGAACTCGGAAATAGATTGTTGTTTAGACTGTTCACTTATATTGTATACTTGACGATTGTCTCAACTTCTATAGTAATAAAATATACCTATTATAAAGGTGATTGGCATTAGGTACCAAAATTATATCATTATGCTATACGAATATGAGTATTATACGTTGGCCGTTGTGTATATGTGCACGAGTTATTATTATTTTTACGAAATTGTTCGAGTACCTATAGATTTAGTAGGTGTAATTTTTTCCTGCTAGTTTACTTAATCGTATACGATTAAGACGGAGACGATGACGCGGCCTGTCTTAGACAGCCTCTGTCGGCCGTCGTGCACTATTTATCAAGGTCGGCGGTGGTAATAATAATAATTACACGGCTACGGTGCTTTTGTTGCATTTGCGGTATGTGTTTGTGTGTGTGTGTGTGTGTGTGAGAGAGAGAGAGAGCAATATAATGGGCACGACGATACCATTAAACGTTTTGCGCACAATTTCTCATTCGTTTTCCGATGTCTCATTAGATCAGTCAGCCAGACCGATCGCGATTTTATTTTTGACAAGAAAACCATAATATTATACTGATATTTGAAAAAAAAAAACAAAAATTACAATAATAAACGATGTATATTATTATTTCATTTTATATACACGAGCATCGTATACGTCGTGACTTCCTCGACAGTCGTCCGTGCAACTTAAGCAGCAGTACTTATGCCTGTATTATACTCGTATGCGTTTTCGTTGCGGCATTTTTAATCGAGCAGCAGCTGAGTACCGACTTAGAGTTGTTTTACGTCATTACCTTACAGTTGGTATTGTTGGTAATTACTAATTATTATTGTATCGCTGGGCGTACCAATATATTATTATGCGACTTTTATATCCTCGTTTTTTTATTTTTCAATAACTCCAACAGTTTTTTTTATTCAAACAATACGTCTATAGAGTCCATTGCAGTATTGTATGTGCACTATAATACAAGAGCTATTTATTGCTCAAGTACGGTATGCGCTCGACCGAATTGGAACGAGGCTAAGGCGATGATATTTTATTATTAAACCATTTATACCTAGACTATTGAAAAAAAAAAAAAAACTATAGTATTAATATCAGAGTATTTTATATAAAAAATAATTGTTAGAACACCATGATGTATTTAAAATCTAAATTTTTTATTCATTTTTATTTTTATTCGTTTTTAACAAGTTCAAATTTTAATCATTTATACAATTTATTTTTACATATACATAGATAACGAAAAATAAAATAAAATTAAAATTACCTACGGCTTACTTTAAATAAAGTCATATAATATTAAATGAAATACAGTATGTACAATGCTATTACTGGCCGAATCCCTATAACTTAAAGAAATAAAATAAAAATAATAACAATTTATTAACTAAAAATATAATAATATTAAATCTTACAAAAAATATTATGAAGCTATATAAATAATATCCATATCATATATATTGTGTATATAGACAAAGTACAACGAGCTAACTACAATAAAACACGAGACCCGTTCGTTTATTATATTCAGTATTTAAATTACAATCGAAAAAGTCAAATTATTATAAAATCGGATTTACCTATCACGTGTATACATAGTACATACGACGTATCTAATGATATTAATAATAATAATGATAATAATAATAATAATAATAATAATAATAATAAAATAATGTATGCAGTTTGTCTTATTCCGTCTTAAAAAAAATAAATTACTGCTTTGTTGACCACACTTATATTATAATATGTAACATTAAAATACGGGTAATAAATTACGGGTGTGGGCCTAGGGTGTACATACGTGTATTATGTATAGGTACGTATTATTATAATATTATGCGCAATATGCGTTGTCGCGAAGACAGCCGCCCACCGGCATTGTTACCGAGTGTGACAAACTCCTATTGTCTTTGGCACTGTGATGTGCCCACTGCTGCAGTACCTATTTTTTTTTTCTCTCCGTTTTGTTTTCGTCTCCTAAAACCCGAAATGGACAACGGGGTTACCGCAATGTAAACACCGTACACCGCACCGCGTCATATCATTATTATCATAGTAACCGTATAACCGGTATAATAATGATATGTATTGCCTACGAAGACCGTGGTACGCGTGCTCACCCCCC